GCGGTTCAGCAACAAAAACAACGTTGGGTTGATCTTCAATCTATTGATGGCGACGGGAAAGGCAGCATGGAGTCCGATTCTTTTTCTTCTTCAGGTACCGATGGGTTGTCTTCAGTGCTCCTTAGGCCTGGGCGATATGAAAAAATGTTTACATGTGAAAAAATGTCATATCAGTCGATATCGATAATTATCACGTTAATTGTCAATCATTATTTCTTTCAAATTTAAAAGCTGATTTTTGCTCCTGAGTGAAAGTTGAAGAAACCAGATGGTTAATTATGGTATAATTATACTTCATTGTCAGAACGTGACAAATTATAATTAAACAGGAACATAAAGGAAGAAGGAAATAAACTCTCTGCTCGAACAACTAGTCACTAACTGCGCCAAAACTCTTAAACCAGGCCATGGAAGTATGAAAGAGTCTGACAGAGTGTGTGTCCTCTGATGCTTAAAGCATATGAAGAGGCAACAGCTTCTGCAGGGCATGCTGGGAGTTAAGAGTCCTTTAGCCCCCTTTGTCTTATTTGCTTCCCAATATTCAAATCGGGCTTTGGAACGGGGGTACAGGCCTGAGTCCTTTGTCTGTCTGGCTGGCCCCCCAACACAAGTTTTACCTGCAAATCCATTGATTTCATGACACAGAGGCATATCGATATTTGAAAGAGAAAAAATCTTATACTGATAAATCGGCCGATATCTTTTTTTGATCTGTGTTCAATCTTTAGAGAAAGATATAGATATACACATTTATTACGTTTGTCCTTGATATGCAGTGATTAAACACTTGTGAAAAAGACATACAGTATAACCAAGACAAGATTTCTCCTTTTTGCTCTGGGGCACCATTAAGGGTTATTTTAATCCTGATGGTAATGAATGGCGATGTCATATTTCAGGAATTCTGACAAACACAGTTTCATTGTACTAAACTGTAAGTTGCTATATTGGTCTGTTGTAAATGGAGCCATTAACATGTTGGAAACTCCAGTTAGCTGGGCATGAATACATCATGAGTGCAGGATGAAGCGCCACTCAGAGGCATTCACTTGACCTCCCTCTGACTTTATCATGTCCCCTCCCTCTCTCTGTCACGCACATTTCTCTCCTTGTCTCTGCTCTTTTTTGTTGAGTGGTTTCCTCTCCTCCACTTAAATGCATCTCTTCGAGCATCTCTTTATTCAATGTGATGGAATGACTGATTCAATCTACTTTCTCCACTAACACCCTCTGAACCCTCTGGGAGCAATATCCAGTACTTTGATATTTCTCAGTCTGTCTGATAACAAGGGAGTTCCCGGTCAAATCCTGTCCTGTCCATTGTTTTTAGTGTGCTTGTAGGTCAGCTGACGTGCATTTTGTCTCTCTCTCTCCCACCCCCCAAGTAAACAATCTGAGGTTCAGCGTGACGGGTGGCTGATCAAAGCTGAATCTATCCACTCCCACATAGCAATGAAAATCTTTTCATTAATTACATTAGGGACTTGCCAATCACACTGCAGTGCCCACTGTGCTGCCTGAACCTTCCCTCTCATTGAGCTTCAAAGCTGCTGTCAGGCTTCAGGACAACAACACACAGGCAGAAGGCCAATCTGATTTGTTTGGGATCATATATTTTCTGTGTTTTTCCCTTTATTAAGTGGATGACCCATTTAGTGAGGTTTCTTGGGTCACTCGTTATTAAACAGGCTGGTATAATGATGCTTCTAAATGAACAACAAAAGCAAGCTAGGTCATCAGGAATAAGTCGTTTCTTCAAAGCGTGTCACCTGCGTCACCAGGTCAGGGATCAACGAAGCATTCATAGCATGCTGCTGAAAGAGCTTGTGTTTAATTTTTCCTCTCCAAAATGTCACAGTGATAGGTATGTTTGCCAATTTAAAAAGGGAGGGTTATATTTATCAGAGGACGACAGCATCAGCACAAAGACGTACTGCTTTGTACACAGGGGCCACTGAAATCAACATGAAGTGAATGATCATCACTGCTGTTTCAAGTGCATATATATATATATATATATGATATCAGGGCTCTACAGTTCTAGCTTTTCAATCACATTTGGCCCTTAAATGCTGAAATTTGTGAACAGAAAGTGTGCAGCGTATTATGCTTGTACATAGAATAGACTACATCCAACCCCAGGCTACTTATTGTTTAAAAACTGCAAGTCCCTCATTCAAAAAACTATTTATTGATCACAACATTGCAGCAGTAAGCATTGTAAGAATGCTGCTGATCTTATAGGTAAACAACATAACAAAGGTAGTTTTACACTTGCAGATATATTTAAACCAAAAAGAGTTAAGTATACTAAGAACGGTTAAAGGTGATGATAAGTTTAATTCACAAATGCAGGGTTTAACTGATATGGCAAACAATAACGTCAACATGAGGACTGGAAACAATAAGCTGGCAGATATCAGTGCTTAAAAAGCTACCTTAAAGCCACATCATGCAGGAATTGTGTTTGGTGCGCTTTGGCTTTCGGCTGCAATTGCACTGTCGTGAAACAAACAGTGCTGTTATGGCTCCCCATCACAGACAATGAGATTTTGTTGACAAGCAGAGTGGTGGTGTAATTAAAAACCCATGTCAACTGACAATGTACAACGACATTACCGTATTTTATATATATATATATAATAATATCTCTCTAGTGTCTACAGCCCGTACACTCTAGGGAGAGTACTATGAACAAACACTGCTTCTTGCTTGCTATTTTTTCTCTTCTTAGCTTCATCCATCACCGTCCTTGTCCTCTTAGTCTCAGCCATTTTATCAAACATTATCGAGACCGGCTAACGGGCTGGTACCATAAAGCTGGTCGATCTGTGGACATGGCAGATACGCTATTCCACCTGTTGAAAGCTGTTGTACTATTAAATCGACATTGAAAATACAATTTTAAGGTGGAATATTTACATATTGTTGCCCCCTGTCACCTTAGTGTCTTAACAAGCTGACACACGCAGAGTGATATGATAAACACTCATCGTTCATGCATGTTTATAATACAGCGTGTATCAAGTGGGGTCTTTGGATACCGTCCATTAGAAAAAATGATTTCAAGAAACAACAAGAGGGAGTCAGCTGTTTCCCGCTCAACTAAAACTGTACAAGATAAGAAGCAATTGGACCATATCCAGTTCTATAAAATGTTCAAATCACTTGATATCTAATCCAAGTGAAAACATTTTCTAGTAGATTCTTGTACATATAAAGCTCTAGTATTGGCACACATCTAGTAAACCTCCTTCGGACCTTTTCAAGCTAAGCTGGCTAAACACAGGAAGTCGTTTTTGTTTTTGTTTGTGTTTGTGAAAGTGTATTAGGTTCCGTGTAATCCTCCAAAGAAATAATTAGCATTCCGACAGTTTAATGTGCGTGTGTGTGTGTGTGTGTGTGTGTGTGTGTGTGTGTGTGTGTGTGTGTGTGTGTGTGTGTGTGTGTGTGTGTGTGTGTGTGTGTGTGTGTGTGTGTGTGTGTGTGTGTGTGTGTGTGTGTGTGTGTGTGTGTGTGTGTGTGTGTGTGTGTGTATAATACTTCCCACACACTATTACTACTCTGACCTAATTGATAATAATAATTCTTTCTTCCTGTGCTCTCGGGTTTCTGGCACTTCCGCCATCCACACACTGATTATCCACTGAAGCAACAGGGTGAGATTTTTTGGCCTACACAACAAAGCCTGTGTGTATGAAATGACTGTTAAAGCCTGGTGTTTGACCAGCTTTACTCCAGTCATCCAGGCCTTAAAAAAAAAAAAGAAAGATCAATTTAGCAGGTCATTATGAACCTGACTACAATATCCATCAAAGCATCACCTTCAAAGTAGACTAGACTAGTCTGCTACATTTTCAGGAGAAGATTCATATCAGGTTGATGCGATAGAAATGGTAAAATATGAATGATTTGAATATACATTTTGGGATGTAGCGATAACTTGCAATGAATCACACACATTGGTCCGCTTGTAAATGTCCATGTGAACACTGACCAAACTTGAGGTAATTTTTGAAAAATGAAACAAGTTGGTCCTTTTGACGTGTGAGCCATGCTTAGGGTGAATATGTTTTAAAACCCATGTTCTACTCAGTCTTACTATTATTCAAGGGATTTTAAAAGACAATTATAACTTTTCGATCAAATAATTTCTAGTAGAATAAAAAATACAGAGCTGAGGTCGCAAGCTGGACTCAAAGAAGTACTTGGCTGTTTGGCGCTCATGGAAAGCCCTGATCAAGTCGACCCTATACACGGTTTTCACCTTGAAAACCAAAACACACGCCCTCACCCCTCTTCCTCTGCTTCCTATGAGATAGAAACCTAATTCAATAGCACCCTGAGGGGACGCCTTGTCTATTCCTGACTGCCCTCTCTTTTCTTTCCCATCATCCACCCAGCCTAATTGGGTTTATCCATCAGAGTTTATATCAGGTCAGAGGAAATTAAAGGTACTTTGTGGAGACTGTAGTCAGTATTTTCCATTGCTTCACTCAGTTTTTTTTTAAGAAGCTGTTTGTTTTATAATCACAGACCTGTTTTCTCATGTGAGAGGTGCAGAGAAGCCTTCAGCAACCAGAACAAACAGCCTCATTCAAGTGAACTTCATAATTAGTTTGCAGTTTCTTCTGCTATTTCTACCACCGCCTTAAGCAAGTACCACCACATACACACACACACACACACACACACACACACACACACACGGCCACATTGGGGTTGGAATATGATTTACCGTGTTTCCAGGGAGTATCTCGGGATTCTCCATAAAAAGCCTGATGTAGGACAGGTCTCAATCATTTTGGTGAGTTTTTGGATGAAACTCGAGCACTGAGTGTGTGTTTACTCTCCTGCGGGTATTTCATTTTCCTTTCATGCCCAAAACACAAACTTTCATTTTATATACACGTGACTGTCAGTATGAAACAGCTGACCTGCACCCTCACCTGACTGCGCAAGTGAAGCAGAGAAAATGACATGTGTGTTTTTGTGTGCAGTGCGGCAGGAGGTGAGATCTTCAACCAGTGTGTGGCAGACCGGGAGGACGAGGCCTTCAGCGAGGACGACGTGAAGAGGCTCATGAGGCAATTCTGGAGGGAGTCTCCTTCCTCCACCAGAACAATGTAGTCCACCTGGACCTGAAGGTGAGCAGACACTCTTACTGGATTCTTTCTGGAGGACTCTTGAATCGTCGAAATTTCTTCAATGTCATTTCTTTCTCTCGTCTAAAGCTGTTTGTCTGCATGACATCTCTACTCTGAGTGCCCCCTGAATGTCTGAGCTCCTCACCTATCTCTAAGGAAACTTATTTCGGCCAGTTGTATCTGCGATCTTATTCTTCCTACCACGTCACTACCCATCGCTCATTACTATTCGTGAGGGTTGGGACAATTATCCACCAATAGATGGAGAGCTTTGCCTTCAGGCTCAGCTCCCTCTTCGCCACAATGGTCCGGCACAACGCCTGCATTACTGCTGATGCTGAGCCAATCTGTCTGTCAATCTCAAGGTCTACCCTCCCTGAACAAGACCCCTAGATACTTGAACTGCTTCACCTGGGGCAAGGACTCACTCCCCACCCGGAGAGAGAGCAGTCCACTGTTTTCCGGCAGAGAACCATGGCATTGGACTTGGAGGTGCTAACCCTCATCCCAGCCACTTCGCACTCTGCTGCAAACCGCCGGCTGCAGCAGAGATCCTTTCAATGAAACTCACAAACAGATTCGGTGACAAGGGGCAACCCTGGCGAAGGCCAACACGCATCGGAAACGATTTTACTTTGTGCGGGGATGTGGACACAGCCCCCACTTTGGTCATACAGGGGCTCGGTGGTTTGTAGCAACCTCCCCGGGACCCCATATCTCGGTGTACCCCCCCCACATAATTTTTATGTAATGTATTTGAGTGTCTTCAAATGCTTCATGTCCCTAAAAAGAACCATGTTTATATATACGTATATCTATATGCATTTTGATTTAAATGTAACAAAACGTCTGATCATTGGTGTTCGCACAGTGACGTATAGCATACAATTAATATTACACAGCATTTTCTATTGACTATGGATACATAGCAGCTGATTGTGTGTAGCATGTTGAGTCCAATGGGACAAACAAAGTGTATTGTATGCTGGGCTTGTTAATGTGATGTTCAGAGTATGAAAACTTCACTTCTGAGCTACAGTTCAGCTTTAAGATTTACTTTTTAACCTTTCCATTTGCCAAGCTTGCAATCTGCTGCAGGGTGAAATAAAAGTCCATTCTTACCATTACTTGTCACACGTGATGGTTTTAGATTGCAAGAATGTGTCAGTGCCTGAAGAATAATGCATTATACACAGAAAGGACTATACTGACAGATAGAAATCATGAATCCAGACAATACTCCTCCTGCTTCTAAAAACATGTACACAAGTGACATAAATGATTTCATTGAACACTAACATGCAAGTGATGTCCCATCAGCCTCAGAACATCCTGCTGACCAGCAGCTCTCCTCTGGGTGACATCAAGATCGTGGACTTTGGTCTGTCCAGGATGGTCAGCAGCCACCAGGAGCTCAGAGAGATCATGGGTACTCCGGAGTATGTCGGTGAGTTTGTGTTTTACAACACATCTACCACCTTTCACTTATGAATGCATTTAACTGTGAATGATAATAAGTGATTTGTGTTCATGTTTCAGCTCCTGAGATTCTTAATTATGAGCCCATAAGCACAGCGACAGATATGTGGTAAGAAAACTCTACTGTTCTCTGTAAACCTTCACTGTAAACTCACTCACTTTGTAGCTTTGTTCAGAGCTAAGGTTTATATGACACAATATGACAAATGTACAGTCTTACCCACTCATGGCACTCAGTTTCCTGCAGCATGTACATGATCTAACTTAAACACTGCAGAGACCAGTGAAATGTCTGTCCTTTGGGGCCCCCTAGTGGTGGAATAAGATTAGACATTTGGAAAGGAATACAACATGAATGAGCTGAAGCCGACACATGAAGTGATTGTCTTTTGGTGATTATTTCAAATTAAATCTAGTTTTATTTCTCATGTAGACTGACAACAACCCTGTACTTGAATGTTTATTATCCGAGACAAACCCAACAGAACGATAGTCAGACTTTGAGTATTTTTAAAACTCCTTTGAAGATTCTTCTTTATCAACTTGCATAACAACTTCAGTGATTTATAATGGCATACCTTTTGTACTTTTATCCTTTATACTTAAATAACCAGCTTTTACTTTACTTGAAGAATCTGCTGGAAGGAATTCTTAACTTGTTATGAAACTGACTTCATTTAAAGGTCGCATATTATCCTCCTTTTTGACCATTTGAAATAAATCTCACCCCCAATCCCCACATACTCCTTGTGCGCCGCAGTCCGTCAGCGCCACGTTTTTGCTCCATCCTGCGCGTGACCTGCCCGAATGGATCCGTTTCTGGAACGTTCTGAGCGAAAACGTAACAATGAGCAGCTGTGCAGACATCACAAGAGAACTACAAGATCACGCGAGAATCAAAAGAAAAACATTCAAACAACATGCACCGCTTCCAATGTTTAACAGAAGAAATAACATTCACTTTAGTAATTAATGAATCTTATCAATCTCATATCAGAATAGTGAATCCTTTCAATCATTGAAAAAACATTATAAAAGATTACGTATGAATTTATTACAGGAATTATGAACAATAATGCAGATTAATGAAGTAAATATCAAAGTTTATCATTTCTATGATTTAAATAACAGTATGATTTTGATTCTAACTTAATTTATATGGTGGCGTCATAATAGTCAAAGTAACAAATGAAACGATAAACAGTTTTGTAAGGATTTAAAAAGAGAATTATGTTGTGAGAGACTAATCACTTGGAGCTACCGATGTGTTAAACAATGACCTTTTCTCTAGTCTGGAAGCCAGCTGTAGTCTAACGGAACTTCTCTCCGTGAAGAAGCTCGGCAATCCTCCTGAATACTCTTCGACCCCAAGACAACCAGAACGCTCTTACTTTAAAGTAAGGCTCTGCGATTTCCTCCGGTCCACTCGTGTGCTCCGAGAAGTTTGCTGGAGATCGCTGCAGATGCAGTCTACTCAGAAATCGATGGATGCCCTCCAGCTGCTGAGACTCGTTTCCTTGGTCGCGTCCAAGTTGATAAAAATATTAAAACTTGAGATAAAGTTGTTGGCCAATTCAAGTTAGCTCGAGTCAGATAAAAAAAAAGGAGTTGCTTACGAAAGATGACGAATGAAATGTGACTTCGAAAAACAACACGTAAAGTTTACGTGAGGCGAAAACGTGGAAAAAGGAAAAACACACAAAGGATGCTATATCAGACCAGCAGATCGCTTGACTCTGTGTTTCCGTCCCATCAAGTTGTCTTTTGATGCTCAAAGGACAACTTGATGAGAAGTTGATTCTGCATCTGTGGCATAGAGAGGGGTTCATTCCACTCTAAGGGGGGAGACACTGCAGCTTCTATGTACAAGTTGAATTACTTGATTTAACTTTCAAAAACTCAAAGAAAATCTGGAACATTTACGACTTCACCATAAATTACCTTAATTTGAGCATTCTGAGTTTCAACATTTGCAGTAGATAAAAATGAGGAGAATACTCTTCTTCTACAATCTGTAAGAAAAGAAACAATGTGTTTCAGCAGTCACAAACTTATGAAGTCATAAAACATGACTATGAATTCTAGAAATAATATCTCCTAACACATCTATTGTTATAACCGATAATATGATCATCACAGCGTCTATATACTGTATGATTAAAAGTCTTATGTGTCCATACAAATAATGACCATGGGATGGCAGTCATGTTCTTAAAATACTCAGTAGGAATCAATTTAAACAGCTTTTTCTAATTCACTCATTTAACGTCAGATTTATACCAGAATCAGGTTATTCAGTCACACTTGATCTCAGACATATATCTGTGTTTGTTAAAAAAAAAACAAAAAAAAAAACGATTATTTGATACAGAAAATAGGACTTGTTTGTTTAAAGAAGCCCAAAAAGTCTCTGTCAGTTTTACGATTCTTTTGATGAATCTTAGACCCCAGCATGGGGCTCTCTCTTCCTGTATCGCGAGGCATCTGTTCTGTTGCGTTGCTGATTCACAGAGGTCGCGTTAACCGAATGTTCTCCATCTTAAACTGATTTTTTTTTTTAACAATGACGAAAAAATCTGAAGGCTGTCTGTCATTTTGACGAATTAGAATCACCGGGTGTCCACCACTCCTTTCTAATTCTCACACAGCGCTGCCTTCATGTGACCTACAAAAGCCAAAAGACAATCAGCTTTGATTACATCTTTACCACCAAAAATCAAGAATTGACTTAATGATGGTGCGAGATCAATTTTCATTAGACTGAATAAATTACAAATGATTCTGTCAAGAGAATTGTTATTCCTTGCAATATTTATTAAGACTTTTCCCTCCTGTCATGTAAATAGGAGTATTGGTGTTCTGGCCTACGTGATGCTAACAGGAATCTCTCCCTTCCTGGGCGAGGACAAGCAGGAGACGTTTCTCAACATTTCTCAGCTCAATGTCAGCTACACCGAGGAGGAGCTGCAGCAGCTGGACCAGGCTGCCCTGCCCTTCATCCAGATGCTGCTCCGCAAACAGCCTCAGTATGTCCACACCTCACTCATCAGATCCACCTGGATGTGAGATACACTGTTATAACATCCAGAAAAGGCAAAAAAAGAGAAGAAGAAATTCTATATTATAATATAGAATATATAGAAATTCTATAATACTTACATTTTTTGAATTTATAGTTTATCATTTTCATTTTAAGCATTTGTAGAAATTATTTTAATTCTCAAATTTTCTTATTATTTCTTACATTCCCTTTACCTTGTGATCAACTCTTTTGACCACTATTGGATACCTGGATCAGCCATGAGTTGGACTGATGTTGAGGCAGTTATGCAGTTATTCCCGAACAACTGGGCTACTAAATTTACAGAACAAATGATAACCAATGCAGAATGTAAGATGTTTTGATGTGTGTGTTCAGGGATCGGGCCACAGCAGAGCAGTGTCTCAAACACTCCTGGCTTAAACCCTCTCAGTGTCAGGGAACCAAGAAGGTGCTGGAGATCCTCCCACTCGAGGACCAGGAGGTGTCAAGCTCCACCAGCAGCCCCGAAACTCCCAGCAGCACCACCACCACAGCTGATGAGGAGGAGGAGGAGGAGGAGGACGAAGGCCCTGTGACAGAGGAGCTGATCGTCGTGGCTGCCTACACCGTGGGCCAGTGCCGTCAGTCCTCCAACTCCTCCTCAGAGAAGGAGGCACTGGCTGCCGAGCAGAAGGCAATCTCCAAACGCTTCAAGTTTGAGGAGCCTTTCAGCTCCCTGCAGGAGGTCCCTGGAGAGTTCATCTTCTGAGCCCCACCTGCCACATGACAGAGGAAGGAAGAGTTGGTGTTGTCGTGGTAACAAACTCAGACCATCTGATAAATAAGAGTTCCCCTCGGTGTATACTGTGTGTGTATAATCAGACACAGGTGTAAAGTAAACCTGACATTATTTAAGCATTCAGTCTTTAAGTGCATCTTTAAGCCCCACTCTCATTATTTCTTCGTAACGCATCATCACTTTGATGCTCATCACATCTCCTCAAACAGCTACAACAGCTTCATGTATCATGTATTTTATCAGGTTGAGTTTGGAAACCTATCAACTGTTTGTGTTGAAGAGAGTGTTCCTTATTTTAGAGATGCCATTCAAGACAAACTTACAGATCAAACACTACGACAACTACCGGAGAAGAAGACCGTTCCATGCCTTCAAATTAGCAAAGGGTGCTTGAAAAATGCTCCATGAAACATCTAAATAATAAAATCCTTACATTAAAGTTATTTTCTGAACTGAATACCAATTTTGTGAAATCTCATTTGTTGTGCTTCGTCAAGCCTGAATAAATAAACAAGTTGTAAGAAAAAGATAAGTACTTTTTTTTAAGTCGTTTTTTTCGACCTTGAAAACAGATTCTGATTAATGTGGCCATGTTGAGTAATTTCTCTCCTCTAGTCCTATTTCTTATAACAGCACTTTGAGCTTTTAGATCATTAATGACAACCATTGCATGTCACACACAGGGCAGGAGTAACTCTTGGAAACAAGACTCCGCTCACTGATGGAGAAACATATAAGCTTTTTCCTGCCAGACACTAGATGTTCCATTCAACTTGTTTGTGTGGCCCTGTAGGATAACACAGAACCTTCTGCAGGGTAGAAGTCTTTCTGCAGGAAAAATCCACTGTGTAAATAGCACTCGTACTGCTCCAGTCGTCATAAATGTGCGTGTGTACTGATGACCGGAGGGGGCGGAGATTTAATATTTGTTTAAGTTATTTCTAAACATTTTGAACTTTTCCTGACGTTTGAATTCAGAAGCCAAATCTTTGTCCGTTTCTGTCCATTTCCTCGTCAAGGCTGCTTCCCTCTGAACAGAACCAGCTCCTTTAAGCTCAAACATGTTTGGTTTTATTTTAGTCTTATTTTGTATTTGGTGCCATGCTTGGAGAAAATATTTGATGATTTTAGCTCTTGCTGTTTTTTTTTTTTTATTTGAAGATATTTCAGTGTAAAATTGCAGATATCTTTAAGGAAATATTTTGGAGTTTTCTAATTCTGTGTAAATAATTTTAAAAACATCTAGTTGTTTCAATAAGGTATATTTGACTGCTGTTTTAAAGAGCCATCTCTCGTCTTCCTCTTGCATTACTGAGTGATCATATGGTTCGGCTCTCTCTGAAGCAACAAAGACGACAGAGCACATCTGTACTTTCAGTGGATCTGTAATGTAAATTTATGTTTATGCAACATTAAGCTCTGTTACTATGGTAACCAATTTGTAAATGAATGTCTTCTACTGTAAATAAATATTTCAAAGGGTTTTGAGAGTTTGATGTTTTATTTCTTTGACTTTAAAAGTCTGGTTTGGTCACAAAACTGCAGTCGACGATCTTTTCACAGTTACCATTGATACTTACAGAAAATATTAGCACGCAGATGTAATGGGGTTATTATATGACAGTTATTGGACGACCCATTAATGAGGGGTCAAGGCAAGATAGAATTTTATTGTACTCTGTATTTAGAGATTTCTACTTCAGAGGTTATTTGTACGATAGTTTATATCTCAGAGCTTTATAAGTTTAAAGTTAATCTTATCTTATTTTTACAGACATCCAAGTTCATGTATAATTATTTCTTATGACATACTCCTACTTAGTTCATTACAAACAGTTTATCTTAACGTTAGAGGTATCTGTGACGGTACTAAAAGGAATTCACTCTTTAATTTTTCTTACTATTTCTCAAGCGATTGATGGTGATGTGACATTTTGGAAATCACAATGGGGTAGACCAGTATTTTTTTTTTTTTTTCATGCCACCCAACAGTCAGCAGGGGTTGACATCCTCCTGAACAAGTTTAAAGGAAACATTGTTGAGTCATGTATTTTAGATAAAGACAGATGGATAATACTAGTTTTTAATCGGGATAACACCTTTCTTGTAAGTTGTAATTAATACAGCTATAATAACTCAGCAAAGGCATGAAATATGTTAACACAACTTTGTTCAAAGCTAAATGATGCTCTACAGCAGGGGTGTCCAAACTTTTTTTCTTGCGGGCCAAAATTGTCGTGTTAGAAACGCTCGCGGGCCACAGGGTTTTTTTTTTTAAATATAGTTGAAAAAATAGTAAGGCTTTGTAGATCAGAATCAAAAGAAACCCTTTAATAAAAGGGAATCAAATATTTTGATTTCTTCGTTCTACTTTATTTGTTTTTTTCTCAGAGCCTGTAACGTGGTTCATTTAGCTCAGGTCATTAAATGGTTAAACAACAGTCCGCTTGTTTGCAAAAACTTTGCATACATTTTTTTTTCATAGTTTACAAAAAAATGTGGAAAATAGTAAAATCTGTAGATTTAAAACAACAACATACATGTTACTGAACATTTTCTGTTTTAGGAATATTGTTCAGTGCTTGTTAACATGAAAAATAAGATAATGTGCCAATCTTAATCAATAAAATCTTCTGATTCTTCATTTGAAGTCACGGGCCGCAAAAAAATCCCCTCAAGGGCCGCAAATGGCCCTCGGGCCGCACTTTGGACACCCCTGCTCTACAGTGAAGATGACTGCTTGACAGGTTTCCTGAAACATCAGTCCAATACTCAAGATTTAAAAGCACTGCTTACATCCTTATTTATATCTATTTCTCCTGCCTGTGTACAATTTGTTTCAGAATCCTCATATGCTCCACTTACTGATCACAAATCAATTTTAATACAAATAATTGTAATACATTTAGTGGGATTCAAACAACAAAAAAGTAATTGACGTGATTTCTGGACGTTAAATCACAATTTACTAAATCACAATATTTTCTGTGACCTGAAAGCTACTGCCAAAGAGAAATTTGATAATAATGAAATGAGTCACATTCAGAAATGGGAGTATTTCATGTTAAAAATTAGAGAATTTGCATGTCATTCATTGCTTCCTCCGTCATCCACCCACATTCATCTCACACTCCAATGGAAAACAGCCACAGTGCCGCCTATATTTGTAAAGGTGCAAGTCACCGGTGACTGGAGCGGAGAGTGATTGAAAGAAAGTCAGTGAAGGAGAAGTGTTACTCGGCATAGAGCGTGTTTGGAGTCCGTGTTATATCCGTTTTGTGTGACATCTTGGTCGCTGGTTGCTGTCAGGCCGATTCCGGAGAGTCAGGAGATGCCGGTCGCAATGGAGCAAAGCCCAACTCTGACTCTGACTATACTGACTGACTGAAAAACTTCGGTACCGTGAGTACCTGCTGTGTCTTTCGCTTGTTTGTGTTTTGATTGTCGCACCGCGAAGAGAGACGCTGGCTTTCTTTGGAGTTTGTTTCCTTTATTTGTTTAAAGCCCGGAGCGGAGTTTTTGTTTTGTAGTTCGAACAGTGAACTGAACTGGACTGAACTGCGGGTTGTGGGTATACCGGGGTGGATTCCCACCGGAACGGGAGTCAACTTTGATTACAAACACAGACTGTGAAACACGCACACACATTGCGCACAATCATTTTGTTTGCAGTGTGGTTGATACATGTGATAATATATATATTTTTTAAATCGCATTGCACATTGTGGCTCTTGCTTATTTCACATTTTGTGCAGGTTGACTATTTTTTGTTTGCATTTCATTTTTATTTGTCAGACTTGACTCTGACTGGCACCCCAAATCAAAACCTTGTCAAACCTGCTACCAGGTCGCCCTGAAATCCTCGCTGCACTAGTTTCTTGTTAGGGGCTGGTGAAAGCATAGGGTCAAGTGAGAAATCAAATAACTTGCTTTTATGTTGAGATAACAGTCTAAAGAAGATAAAAACGACATATTTTAATGTTTGGTGTCTTCACTTAAAAAATGACAGACTTTCATTTACATACCTTTTTTTTGAATTTTTGTTTCAATTTTCAATTTCCGCCTAAACTACATGTGTGTTTAAGTGTGAAAAAAATCAAACATTGAAAATGGTATTGATAAAAACTTTGCTTAAAAGGATACTTCCACCATTTGCTTCCAAGCTTTGTGTCATTAGAAACCTTGTAGTATTTTTGAATGGTCGTGCATCCCGCCCTCATTTTCCCCTGAGATAGGAAATCTTTGTATTTCTAAGTCTGAAAAGGAGCTTCCAGTGATGCAGAATGATGATTTTTGCATCACTGTTAGCTGTTGCGGTTAGCGGGGTGAAACTACAACGCTAGTTCCTCATATTTTCAACCACTGAAGCTACAGAGCTATCACAGATCAGTGGGTGGGAACTCACTCCCAGAATCGAAACTTAACATCCGCCATATTGCTTGGAAGCTATGCTAACAAGCTCTATGGAGAAAGCTGATAATGGCGAAAATATAAATATAGCGGCGAGACGGCTGCTGCCGACAGGCCGGGCTTGTGTTTTGGCTGCTGCAGCCGCCGCCCGCCGGGGCCACCACTGCTCGCCGCCCGCCGGGACACAAAACCAGCCTGTCAGCAGCAACCGTCTCGCCGCTATATTGCTATATTGCTGGCCGCTGCCGGATGCTGCCAGCTCAGCAACCGAGACATAAGGCCTGCCTGTCGGCGGCGGTGAGGATGAGGGCCGGCTCGAGCTGGGGCGGGCTGGTAGTGTTGGTGCTCGCAGTGTTTGCCTATGGACACGGTCTGTTTTCTGCCAGGAATTTCCAAGATGCCAATTCCTTCTGGAAGAAATCTCTGAATCAGTTGAGGAAATGGCCTTATGTGTTAAAATAAATATGTCTGTAAATGTTTTTTATTACTATATTTCTACTAGTATATTTGTGGTAGAACTGGGCCTGCAGAAAATCAGCAGAAAGAGAAAACCCTCCGAACCTTGGGACGAGAGTAAATAAAAGAGACTTTCAGAAACTGTTGAGTTGCTAAGTCACCAGTTTATTACATGCAGCATGGAGAGAAGTTCAGCTATGCGTACAGGATACACAAAGTAAGTTCTCTGCCCGCTCTTGGGGCATACAATCTTTATATACTTGAGCATATAGTGTGATCGAAACTTACAGAGGAGGATCAAAGAAAAAGGTGTAGCTTTATCTGTGTCAGCACCTTGTGGTCAGTGTATAAATATGTGAATGTAGCAATAACTTGTCCTTGAGAGTTTAAAAAAATAGTCCTTATAAGGAGCTGTTTTTTGAGTCTGTGTACGTGAGATAAAACACCTGTGGTGAGGTGAGTATCGTGCAAGGTTCGTGTGTTGCAGTGGTCATATAAGGACACGGTGCATGTATACGTGATATGTGTAATGCTATGTGTAATGCATTGGATCAGTTAATGAGCAAACATAAAAGTATAAAGAATATAAGATTCCACATATTGTATATTTAGGAGAAACTGTAACGATCAAATTTCCCTCTGGGACTAATAAAGTATTTCTGATTATGAACTGGAGGACCTTAGTGGGAGTGGCCTGCGGTGCTGTGCATTCTGGGATTTGGTGTCTTTCATCCACATGAGCCAAAAACACACTTTCTGCCTTTTCTCGGCCAAGAAGGCACCAACTTCAAAATGTATTTCACATTTCTATTACATACATGACCCAATGTCAATACAGATTCAGTTTTCAACGGGTGAAGTATCACTTTAATTGTAACTATTATCTATCTGTGAACATCCTGTCCAAATTTGGTGAAATTCTGAAATGAAATGAAAAGGACAAATACTGGCTAAGACTGCTGCCTACTAGCCAGGAGGTTGAGTGTTCAAATCTTGATTGAGACCATCCGCAGCTGACCTTGGTGTCTCCCATTAAAAGTTATTTTAAACTACCCTAACTTCCTGAAATGAAAAGTACAAACCCTCTAAAGAGGCATGCATTGCCAGGCTGCACGGTGGAGTAGTGGATTAGACTGGCACCTCCCAACCTTAGAGGTTGTGTGATTGAATCTTGGTTGAGGCAGATCTGGAGTCACCTGGGTTTCTTCCAATGGAGCTGATTTTCAACAATTTTAATGTCCTGAAATGAAAAGTACAAACCATCTGGAAAGGCATTCTCTGAAACACTGCACAGTAGGCGTTGTGATAAGGCTGCCTGCCGTCTCCCAACCAGTAGGATATGTGATTGAATCTTGGTTGAGGCAGAGCTGGGTGACCTGGGTTTCTTCCAATGGAATTGCTTTTGAACTATCGTTGAATTGTTAAGTGATGAAATCTTGGTTGTGTCAGAACGAGGCCATTTAGTGATGATCTAGGTTTCTGCCTTTGGAGATGATTTTAAACTACCTTAATGTTCTGAAATGTAAAGGACAACCCCCCCCCCAAAAAAAAAAAAAAAAAACAACTGACAGGCAGCAGAGTGGTGTAGTGATTAGTATTGGTGCCTTAGAGATGCAT